CACGTAATACCAAACTTGGCGCATGTGAGGCTAGCGAAACGGACCGCGAGTGCATCATGAGTGTGGCATGCAGTCATGTTGTTAAATGACACGCATGTCGTGGTAATTATGTTTCGATGTGTCATTTACCAACTAGTTCATTGGCGTCGGAATGTACCGAGTTTGTACATGTGAATCTAGCGAAACGGCCGCGAGCCCATCATAAGCACAGCATGTACATGACACGCATCTCATGTTTATCATGTTTGCACCAGTATCATATTTTCGTCATCCATTCACGTCCCGTAATACCAAATTCGGTATAAGTGAAGCTAGTGAAACGGCCGCCAGTGCACCATAATCGTGGCATGTAGTCATGTTGTTACATGATACGGATCGAGTGATTATCATGTTTGCACCAGTATCATATAATCATCATCCAATCACGTACCGTAATACCAAATTTGGTATATGTGACGCTAGCGAAACGCCCGCGAGCGCATCATGAGCGTTGCATGTAGTCATGTTGTTACATGACTACGCATGTCATGATTTTCATGTTAGGGTCTGTTGCTTGTGTTCACCATGCAATCATGTCATAACATACCAGTTTTGCAACATGCCATGTGGAAGAAACCACCGCAAAAGCTGGAGGATCATAATATGTAAGTCATGACATACATATCATGATTTTCATACCATGACTAGTCAAATGTGTTCTCCATAAGTCATGTTATGTCATACCAAGTTTGATAACGATACCATTATCAGAACGGCCAGGAGCACTGAAAGTTGTAGGCGGCTAGATAGATAGATAGATAGATAGATAGATAGATAGATAGATAGATAGATAGATAGATAGATAGATAGATAGATAGATAGATAGATAGATAGATAGATAGATAGATAGATAGATAGATAGATAGATAGATAGATAGATACGCTTAAAGTCACTGAAGTTCACTAAGAAATGCTCCGCATTTAAAGTCATGTAACGTGACCCCTTGTGATAGTGCTGCCCTTCATTATTGCAACCTTAATCAAATGCGGTATTCAAAACAAATACAGGGTTTCACACATATCAGTATACGATGTGTACAGAAGGCGTAAAGGAAAGACAAATTGGACTACAATAGTGCGAGTTTTCTTTTAGACTAATACTAAACATCTGCATGCTAACCTCTATGTGACCCACGATTACCTAACCTTTTAACAAAGGGAAATACTTCGAGTAGCTCTTTTAATGTGTATTGGTACGTTTTAACGAATTTCTCTTCACGTACCGCATTTGGCTCTTTACTGATACAAAAGAAACAGCCTCAAGGCCATGTCACTCGCTGGTGGTGGTGTTGCGATAAGATGTGCAGTGAGAGAAAACTGTGTTGGCGTGGACCCTGTCTCTCAGTTTAGGAATCGTATCCGGATACCAATAGAAAAATAGATTTCCGCATTGGTTTTTTTCATGCGCCTCCCTGACGATATTCACCAAGTCATACAAGCTGGAATACTCTGCTGGGGACAATACTGAGCGAATGTTTTCAGTATTATTGCAATAAGGAACTCCCATAGGGAGCAACTAAAATACCATGTTCTGAATTACAAGTAAATGCGTGATATACCTTGCAAGCTACGTTTAGACAAGACGCCTCGCTATTCTAGCGATTGCTGCATGTCCATTAATAGGGAGTTTTAGAATAGCGCACCGCCATCCCTTGCGGTGTGGTCGCTGCCATTGCGCTTGCTTCGTAACGCGAGTCGGCGTTCGCGTTCGCGGACCGCACGCCAAAACTCCAAAATGGCGCGTGGTAATGGCGGCCCGCATGTGGCCCGCAAGCGCTGGTTTCGAGGCTACGGGCGGTGATGGCGGTCGCAGGTGGCACGCAAGCGCTGGTTCAACGTTGCTGGGTTCGAGGCTACGGTGTCGCCTTGATCGTGCGTTGCCGATCGCCGCAGGGCAAACGCTATTCTAAAACTCATATGGCGCCCGCTACGCCCGCAACGCCCGCAGCGCTTGCAAACGATATTCTAAAACTCCCTAATGTTTCAAGTTGTAATTCAGTTGCGTCGTCCATGTCAACTATGTCTTCTGATTGTGTCAAGTCATGCGTGACATCTTTTGAGCGCGCTAACAATTTTATGCTATCCTATGATGTCACGCATGCCATGTCCATCATTTTATGCATAACCTTTCTCTATTCCATGTTACGACATACGCTTAAAGCCTTTTCCATCATGCACACATGTTGCACTACGCAGGGAAGAATGACACGAAAGACACGCAGGCATGTCCATCTTCACACGTCATGTTGTTCATTAACTCCGAGTCTTGCATTCATATTACTGAAGTGACCGAACCCTCTCGTAACAATCGTTTCATCGAGGCATGTCTATATTGACATTTTATGTTGTTCATTATTATGAGTCTCACATTCTTATTATTAAGGTGACCGAACCCTCTCGCAACAAATATTTCGTGGAGGCATGCCTTCACTGTGCATGCCTTCTAAAAAAGGCAGTGTGGAAATAGAAGGTACCTCTACTATGCATCATTGCATAAGAATACATCAAATATCTTGTGAACATTCGCGCTTCCTGACTGCCTTAATCAGTAAACGCACCATCTATCTATAGGCACCACCACTAATTGCATACATGTTCCGACAATGTTGTCTGAACAAATACCCCTTTCATCGCGCGCAGCTGGGGATGAATACTAAATATTGTATGTTTCAGTAATTGGAACCGAAGATCCGCATAGATGCTGATACACTCGTTTAGGGCTATCTGTGTTGCTCTGAAAGCACCTTATGGAAGATTGGTGTCGATCGTGTCCTTCAAATTCAGTTAAGATAAATCAGGACCACTCAGCAAGCCTACGAAAGACTAAATATGCAAGGCCAGGGCTATGCGACGTACGATACATAAGCCCGGGTTAGCTAATTGTCAAGCACCAAATTCAAGTTTGATGAGAAAAGCACCTTAGAGTGTAGGCTTGTCAGTTTGGCGCTGTGCTTTATTCAGCACAGCACATGCAAGGTACCCACTACACAGAATGATGATGACGATGAAGAATGTGCTTGTTAGCACATGCAATGTACCGGATGACGATGACGTTGAATACACCTCAAGTCGCTGAGGTGTGAATGGGTTTGTAAACGCGTTTCAGACCAAGAAACATTCTCTTTCTGCCGAGCGCAAGGCGCGAGAAGTGGCGACAAAACAACGAAAACGCCAAGTGGAACCGGAGTTGCTGGCGTGGGGAGTGACGGCTCAGTGCGAACACCGAATGGCTTGTGCATTATGAGGCTTCTCGGTGCGTTGTACGACGCATTTCGTATGACTTCAGACGCCGAAAATTCTCTAGGGTTATTTGCACGGATCTAGCGATTACCACCTTCAGGCTAGATCTGATCGAAGAACTATTGGCTTTACATTTCATGGACAACGAAACACTAATATGGAAAGCAAAAGGGAATCCACCATTCAATACGAGATACCGTTTATGAACAGGAAACGATGCATTTAACTGTTCACTGCTTTGTCACCTATATACATGAATGAGGGCACAATATCACGGGGAATTTACAGTAACACCGAATGGTCCCACTGATTCGCCCACTCATGATCCTTCAATTCGTGGAGATATGGCAATTTTTTCACTAACTCACATAATGCGGCTAAGTAGCACGGCTTATCTAACCGGTCTGACCAAGATATTCTTCATACCCTTCAGTTTTTATTCAAGACAGTGTCTTTTTCAACAAGACTAAGCCTAAACATGCCACCCAAGTGGAGCAAAAGTCGCAGCATATCCACAGAGTGAATGATGATGAGTGGGGCGAAACTTACAAGCTCTTTGTCGGCGAAACATGACTCATCCGCTGATCACGTCCGTCCATCTGTCCGTCCATGTATCTGTCTGACTATCCGTTCGTCCATCTGTCTGCCTTTGGATCCATTAGTCAGCATGTATGTATGTATGTATGTATGTATGTATGTATGTATGTATGTATGTATGTATGTATGTATGTATGTATGTATGTATGCCTGTCCATCCGTCCGTCCGTCTGTCTGTCCATCTACCTGTCAGCCTGTTTGTCTGTACGTCCATTCTTCTTTCTGTCTCTCCGTATGTATGTCCATTAGTCTGTCCATCCATCTATCGGTCGGCCTGTCTGTTTCTGTGTCTGTCCGCTTATCCGCTTGTTTGTATGTCTGGCCATTCGTTTGTCCATCTAGTGAACACACCAAGTACCACCATCTCACATTTTTCATCATATATTTCTCATATACAAGTGCCGCCATTCAGCGGACATTCAAAGTACTTAAACGAGAAGTGGCTAGTACACATACAGAAGACGCGCCACCAACGTCTCAAGGAACTGCACCCCTAAATGCAGGACTGAGACGAGAAATGCCTTGGTCTGGTCACTGGGACAAAACCTTAAATTGCCTTAGAAGTGTGGCAGCTTGGGCTAGTTGGTGTGGCATGACAATGGTTATAACGCGAGAACGAAACGACGACACAGAGCCAAGAAGGAGCGCTCATCTCCTTTGCCTCCTTCTTGTCTCTATGTTGTTTTGTTCTCGCGCTATAACTATCGTTGAATTGCCCCTTGGCTTTTAGCTTCCATCTCCCACTGCCACCAGATTATTGTCCGAAGCGTTACAGGTATGACCAGTTTCTAGGGCATGATTGTATTACTCCCTCAAGGCCCAAATTATCACATTCGGCCACTTTGTTTTCGATTGTAAGTCGTTCAGCGTGGGTGTAAAATGTAGTTTTAATGTGGCCGTGCTTTTCAGAGTTGTACTTTTTTTCTGTGCTGTCCGTGCAGTTCACATTGTAACACCAGCTAACCTACTTTAGTTTTACCTTAGCATATCATAAAGTCATACTATTGTCGCCACAACTCCGCTAACGTATCACAATAAACAATTTCCTATGTTGCCTGAAACCAGAGTTTGGTACCTCGCCTGCCACGTCGATTAGGTGGTCCTAATCAATCTTTCTTTTCGTAGTGCGCCGTGAGTGGAATATCACACCTGGATATAGGATCTCAACTATTTCTTCTGGAAGGTGTTATTACCGAAGTTTTCGAGCGATTTGGTTTTGGTAAGTTCCGCGTTTCTATCTGCACTCGCTTTTCTAGATTTACGTGTCACAAGATAGCTCAAAGTACAAATTGAGGCATTTAAATGGGTAGAAAAGTTCCCAAATTCTACAAACATTAAAAAAGTCGCCGTATTAAACAATTATCATAAGTAGCTGCACGTCACTTCTTGGACAAAAGTGTTCTGTTAACGCAGTAGAAATATATAACGGTATTATTTTCAAATATATATCTCTAAATAGTAGTAAACGTAACAGATAATGCTTGAAAAACATAAAATATAAAAAAATATAAAGAGCTATCAATTTATTTGATATACCATTATAAATTCATTAGTGTCAATCTGTCAATCACTCATAGGCAACATAGTAGTTAAAGCTCTTTCATGCAGGAGCCCACAAGAATTGCGAGTGGCTGCACTCAGACACCTGATTTTATTGTGTCCAATACTTATTAGGATGAAACTGTGGGAACAAAACAGGCCAGCAAATTTTTCAAAAAGCTGCGGCTGCCTTGAAACAGAAAAATTGCACGCTTGTGGAGACTAATCTGGTTGCTTCTAGGTAGATTGCAGTCCTTGGTAAAGTGATCGAGGTTGTTTTTATGTGCCTTTTAGATCACTGTGTGGATTGAGATAGGGGATGCTAGGTTGTGGCTTCGTTGATATTAGGAGAAGATAGGCTCGCGTTAAACCGCAGGCAGCCACAAACACGAGACGGGTACGTCGTCGTTGGCGCAAGTCTTCAGTAGCTTAGGGGTGTTTTTGTCACCACCGTTGTCTTTTTTTTCTTGAGTATTATCTACATGTACCGACTCGTTGTCATCGGCATACCACCATCACTTCCTGGCCCTTCTATTTGATTTTTTATATTGTTATGGGCCACTAACCTACAAGCCGAGAAAGTGGAATACGGGTTGTCTTCTGTACACGCATGTTTTGGCTGCTGTAGCCTCTATGACTTTGCTTCTGGAATCCCTCTGAATGCACCAATCTTTTGTCGTCGTCCCGCAAGATCTTTCTGGTGTTGCTGGTTGCGTCCGACGCTGGTCATGGAGCGTAACAACGGTGTATTCTTGTATAATCCATCTTATCAACAGATGCACGCCCTGTTATGCTACCTGAACCCAGCCACGTCGTTGCGATCCGTCTGCGAGACCCTGGCACTTTCTGTAGAACTGATAAAATGTACTTGAAAATGTTGCTGGCCAACTACATGCGTTCCAGCGTGATCAAATGGTGAGATCCAATTTGGATGCTAAGAAACGTAAGCTACTACCTCAGGGAAACGGCCTGTGTGTGGTTTGACTCACATGAGGAGAAGCTGACCAGTTCAAATGTGTGCGGACATAAAAGAATGACCTCTTCAGAAATCCTATTTATTGCCAACAAGAAGCCCAGAAAGAACTCGCAAGCCGTGCGAAAACCCCGACGGCAGCCGTACATAGTGCAAATCCAAGACGCTTTAGCCTTTTGTCGATACGTTGACGACCACATGACCAAAGGTGAAAGAGCTAGCCACATTTTGAAAGGCATCGTTCATGACACGCTATACTTCCTAGTATGAAAAGACTACTCCACAAGTGACATCATCAGGAAGTGTCTAACCTTTCAAGAAGTGAAGAGCGGTCGAGTTACGCAAAGATTCGTCTGATTCCTTAACAACACCGCCACGTAGTCTTGGCAGATGTCAAGCTCTGGCAGCTCAGTACTAAAAACTTTCTGCTCATTATGCGGCGAGATATCGAAGCACAATCTCTATCTGCTTCGCTGGCTCGTTCCTACGAGGAGCCCCGCCCGGCAGTGTCATCGATCCAGGTCGCCGTGCGCGAAAACCTGGCGAACGCAGGTATCCAGCACTTACGTGCTATCCCTCGTCCAGCGGCCAGCTCTGTTCTCTCCTTTCGCCCACCACCGACTTCTTCTAAATACCGTGATCCGAACTAGTGGAGTACACGGGATGACAGACCGAATTCGCTTCAACTGCAACGGGATAGGCCACAATTCTTGCTATTATCGCAGTCGTCGGCCATCGTTTCATCCTGTACTATATACCCGCGCCTCAGCCCGACACTATGGCCACTCACCGTCCCCGCAGGACCAGCAATGTTCTCGGTCACCTCTGCATGTCGCTTGCCTTCACCATGCCATCATTGTCTCTCCTGGGCAAACTGACGAGTGCAGCTGCCGAAGTGATGCTGCATTGGCCTCCAGCCCCGGAAATTCTCTGTTGACTCTGGCTGTACGACAAAATATTATCAACGTGGTAGTACGTCGCGTGCTTGTTTTGGCGCTAATCGACACTCGAGCCCAATCATTGGTCATGAGCGCGCGCTTTTGCAGTCGCCTTCGCAAGGTGCTTACGCCCACCTCATCGCCTAGTTTGTGTAACCAATAGCAGTACTTCTCGCATTCCTGTAATGTGTACTGCGCGTTTGAGCTTCGCTGAACGACAATATTCATCCTCTTGGCTGTTCTGCATGACTGCCTCCATATTCTCATTATCAGCCAAGAATTTCTGTGTGCGCGTGCGGCAGTTATCTGTTGTTCTTCTGCTCTCTTACAGTTAGAGCTTCCTGGTATGCCTGACGTCACCATGGCGTCACCACCGACGTTTATGTGTGGTCCTGTTCAATGGCATCGTTTAGCCATGAACTGTCACAAACACAGTATAAGGTAACACACAACTTCCAACTAAACAAGACTGAGAGCAAACACAGACATAAATAAAAAACGTACAGATATGCACAGTCATCACACAGCCCTATGCATTCCAGCTATCGAAAAATCTCTTTTTCGATAGCTTATCAGCTATACTGCATGTCTCGCGCGTCGCAGTTCTTCAGCTCAACTCTTCAGAATGCCGCTTTGATCACCGAGAGAGCGATATGCTTGGCCTTTTTGTTGAAGCTGCGAGCATACGACTGGGCCCAGAAAATGTTACGCACCGTTACGAAGCTTCCCCCTCCACGTTCCTTCAAAACCGTTCGCTTTGGCCAATGCTAAATATTTCGCCCGCTTTGTAAAACATTTTCCAGGGATTGCGCAGCCCCCCACTTCTTCAAAAGGACGTGCCTTTCTCCTGATGCCCTTATCAAGTGTCGGGAATTTCTCACCTCACCGATTTACTCACATCACACCCTGTGTTTGCCACCTTCAACGACTCGGCGCCCACCGAAGTAGGAACTGATGCCAGTGGTTATGGCATCGGCGGTGTTCACAGCGGGTTCATCAACCACCTCAACTCACTGGCTCCCGATTCATCTCTTCATGTCTTCGTGCTACAGATGGCACTTTGCTTTGCCGCAGTTTATACGTGATGGCCCAAAACTCTTGCTTGTGATTTCAGCACACCTTCGTTTGACTGTTCTGGCACAGCTTCGTTTCCCGCACCTACTATCATGCAGGCCCTCAGTTAGACTGGGCAGGAATGTATAGGTCGGTCCATCGTTACGTGACTTCGTGCAATCATTGTCAGCTCTTGAAGACGTCAACACTCTCGCCTGCTGTCCGTCTTCAATCTCTCGACGTACCATATGACCGGTTTAATCATGTCAGCCGGGACATCTTGGTTCGTTTCCTACATCTGGCTGGGGAATCATTGGATCACTGTTCCAACGAACTACGACAAGCGGTGTCGATTTATTCGCCCACTTGGAACCAACTGCCCAAGCAATGTAGCGCACTTTTAGCCTCACAATGTTATCCTCCAGCACAGAGCACTGCGCCAGCTCTTGAGCCAACGTTACTGGCAGATTTGTTCAAGGGCCCTAAATGAAATCCCAGTGTAAGCAATGACCAAGCATAAGCTAACAACGGCTAACCATCCACAGCCTTATCGTAGCGGATCAACTGAATGATTACCGACATGCTTACAATTCACGCGTCACCCGACCACGAAATTGGGATTGACGTTGGCTTCTGTCATGGTTGCGTATAACACGTCCTGGCAATATATCACTGGTTATATTCCTTTATTTCTTTTGTTCGGCTTGAACCCAGTGTTGCCTATGGATTCGATGTTGCCTCCTTCTACGCACCCGCTTACTCATTACGCTCAAGAAGCTATTGACCGACTCGAAAAGAGACAGCAATGTCATTAAGATAGCCGCCACAGGAACGCCTACTTTCTGCTTAGATCTATTCTACTAACTTGGTCTCAGCACGTAGTGCTGGCCTTTTTGAGAAACGCCTGTTCCCGTCCACGGACGCATACCGTGCATGCCGTCAAGTGAATGAGGTGTCCTATGAACCGTTGTATTCGTCCCCGTCTAAATCACTACAGCGACATCGTTCACGTTGTGTGCCTGAATCCCTGTCGCACACCGGACCTCACCGATGCATGTGTATAGTGCTCATTCTCACAACTGTCTTGATTTGGGCATTGGTTTGGATGCACCGAGTCGATGCTTTTGCCGCCGGAGGGTAAGGTTTCGTGCTGCATGACGAAGAGGTCGAAAAAAACTAGGACAGTTGTCTCCTGTTGTCGCCATCTTGGCAGCTGCAGCCACAATCACTTTGCTGGAGCAGTTATTGTAAATTCACCCGTCTTTGTTGTCTCCTTGTAACAATATTCTGGCCCATACCTAGTCTTGAAGATTGGCCAAAACAGTGTAGCGGAACCTTTCAATGAGCATTATAATACAACTGATTATGAAATTTATCGAAAGAATGAGAAAACGGACCATACAAATAGTGCGAAAAACAGAGCAATAGAGAAAATAAGAAACAAAACGGAAAAAATGAAAATATGAACTGACCCGATGGTTGCATTTACTTTATCTAGCTATTCAGAATATATGTATCAAAACCCTAAAATAATGTTACATCAATAGTATTTATTACAGCTGAGATATACCATTAGATGCGTTTATTAGCTTGAATACAATTGCAAGACGCATCGAATGCGTCTCTGTGGCGATCTCCCAAAACAGAGGCACTGAAGTTGAGAGCAGTTTCCACCTTCAAACTAGTACATATTCTGAAACAGCAATAGCTAGAAGCCTTTTTCTAAGTAAACAGTATCGGTGACATGATAGAAAATGTGTTCAGTGGTTTATATTTATTGGGTGATGTATTGGGATTTACGTGATTTTATTGGCACATATCACGCGCATGGTGATGGCACGCACTTGTGTTGTTGTGCCTGCTGTTGCATTTGTTTTTAGATGACCACTGGTTAGTTGTAGGAGTCACCTAACTTATGCGGCGCATACTCATTTATGATGATTATAGGGATTTTTTACGGTGTAAACGACCTCCTAAACGTCAGCACTGTTTATACGTCACCATGCAGGGCTTGACTGTTTTGTAATGTTCTGTAGAAATATACACAGCACAGGGTAACACTGTCTGCTTTATTCTTTCGTGAAAGTGGAACTCCCCGTAAAGCGATGGTAAAACTCTGAAAGCGCGTATAGACAAGACCACCGTTTCAATAGGCTATAGGAAGGATGTCCGAAGCTTTTCACTTTTTCTAATTCAGCGTCGCACTTAGCGTAAATTAGCGCTGGTATTTTTGATTGATGATTTATATGTGGGGTTTAACGTCGTAAAACCGCCACATGATTATCAGAGACGCCGTAGTGGAGGGCTTCGGAACTTTCAACCACCTGGGGTTCTTTAACGTGTACCCAAATCTTGAGCTGGTATTTTTATGGGATTGGTACGTTCGTTTCTTCAAGTGGAGCTGTGTTAGAAATGCGCACTAGTAAAAATTTTCCAACACCTTCTATATGTCAACAAACGGTGTTTCGATATTATTACATCTGCTGAAAAAATGTCTGAGTTGCCCTCATTAATAACTAGACAACTTTAGGAGAGAGTTTGTTACTCCTCCTTATAGTGAACTAGAATTCTTGCTATACCCACTTCATCCTCATTAAGCCATCATATTTGATTACAACGAACTTCGATATACTAGACCATACTCACCATTTCGTTTTAAATCACCCTAAGCTGCAGTAGTTCATTTCTGTTTCAAGGATGTTCTTCGCAACTGTAAAACTTCACGTTACTAAGAGCGGCAGGTACAATTTACCTCATCCATTCACTTGCGCATAGCAAGTTGCTTCTGCAATCTCGTGGTCACATACACAGAAGTTAATTTTTCAACTCGCCAGACATACAAGACTGTTGCATTATTACAAGCTTCTCTGAAACAACACATGTATATGAGCGATGTGCAAAAGGAACTTTTGAATAGTGTGCGCTTTTCGATGCGTCTGTTCTCGGGTTACTGGTTAGTTAGTACTTTGCGCTTTTAGTTAACGTATTATCCAAGCATACGATTTTAGTACTTAACATTGAATTTTTTTCGTGTGGGAATACGAGAGACATTGGTCTATTATTTTTTTCCAATGATGAGTTACACTTGATGGAAGGCTGCTAGCCAGGTACGTCTTTGATATGCTCAGACTCTTTCTAAAAAATGGAAACGATAATTCGTCTCATACCGCCTTTCAGATGCAATTGTTAGCTTTCAAATGCTCATTTCTGTCTCGGTTGTCAAAAAGATGGACTGTGTCGAAATGCAGTATTTGCCTGAGCTCACGTTTTTATTAAATCGTCAGGTTCATTGGTCGACATGATCTTCTCCCTATGCAAGACTGTCGGTGGTGGCATGAAGATGATTTCGAAGATTGGCCACAGCATCTTCGGCGGCATGTTTGGAGAAATCGTAGACACCGCCACCTCTATGATGCCACTTGGGGACTGCACCGGCCTGCACGTAGCCGGGGAGATCATGTGCGGTCAGCCAGTAGTCTTCCAATTTCCCAGCACGCTTAACATTGGAAAGGTGAGCAGCGGCGAACTGTTTCTTAGCTGTATTCACCGCTACTCCCCGGTAAGATGTACTATTGTGAGTAATATAAGCTCGTACACTCGAGTGTGTGGAAAACAGCCGTTGATACGCGAATGGCGCTGCCGAAACTGGAAGGAAATAAAGGGGGAGCTTTGCTCTTTATTCTTTGCACTCCCATTTTGATTACGTAGTGGCCGAACGGCATCTGGTTTTGTGCCATCGGTTGCAAGCAATTATAATGCAGAAAATATTAACAATCCCGCCATATCCATTAAGTGAATGATGATAAGTGGGCGAAGCTCCCGAGGTAAACATAGTAAACCGTACTATTTGCTTACTCATTCATTAAATATACGGGATAAACACGGCGGTGGCAGGGTATATACACAACATAATTTTTCGCCATACTTGGTAGTGAGAAGCTGCTTCCGTTAACCCTTCGTTATAATCGGTTCGTCAATGAACTGAAGCGACAGTTGTTCTTGGGATAGCCGTTGGTTGTAGATAATGGAATTATACGCGCTAGAGAGCATATCGAGATGCCTTATGTTGTGTAAGTGAGGAGTCCTCTATGATGTTTACGTTGATGTATCCCGCCAGTATTATTATTTGTTTGTTTGTTGCCTCTAATCCATGGCTCATACCCACTCCAGGGGATTGGCCAAGAGAACATATATTCTCATATAAACGATAACTGCACTATTGCTTACAACAAAAAAGGGAAAAAAGTTGTAGAATGAAAAAAGTATGATAAAAAACAAATATTGAGATAGTGAGAAAAAAATCAACAAGAAAATAGACACTAATAGACACTAAGAAGACACGGTGGTGGCCCCTACTCGTCGACTTGCGTTCTACACCTTATAACCTCTGAGACAGGCACGCATGCCCGTCTTAGGGCCACGCGCTTTGTTTTCAAAAAAAAAACTGTCAGATGACGCTCATGTCTCATGTGGGATGTGACGATGCGCTCATTCGCCTCCGCTGCCCGCTAGAGACACTCTAACGCAGCGTCTCCGGAATACCATTCGCCGATTTTTTTGCACACAACATAAAATAAATGTTTTGTTCACTCTCTCCACACGCAAGACTATCGTCTTTTGACGACATTTGCAGATTGCATGCAGACACAGGGCCAATTTTTTGAAACGCTAGCGTTTGTTGTAAGTGCTTCTACTGTTGCATACCTGTACATAACTTAGGCGAAGGCTCCTCCACAATCCAAAGTTTTATTGTTTACTGTGGTGTTTGCAAGATAAGAACATTACAGGGAGAAACACAGATATCATTGAAGTTAGAGGTACGACAACTGTTCAGTGCCGTAATAGAAGTTGTTTGGTGTATAGGCAACGGCATTGTTAATTTGATTAGAAGTTAATTATTTACAATCATTTATTGGCCTTGAAACCTTGCATCTGATGGTACTGACATTACTCAAAATAATCAGAAAATGTTCACGAAGTGAATAATGTCGAGTGGGCGAAGCCTCGTGGGATCATTAACCTCCGTAAAGTCTTATTTTTTATTTATACATGTACCTGCAGCGCCACGAGGGCAATATTGCAAAGGGGTAACATGAGAGAAATTAATGGCGTAAAAATATTTGTTTACACAAAGACAAAAATAAAAACATGAGCTAATAACAGAAGCGGCGTATGCAACAATGAAAAGTAGTGACAAATGATTTTGGCCCAATCTCATGAAAAGAAGAAAAAATAAATAAATAACAGAAAGCACAAGCAAAAACCAGGGGAAAGCTGGTTTATGGGTCACGGGAAAATGTATAAATGGCTGGAACTATGAGAGTGTTTTACAATTACCTATACCTTTAGAAAGTGTGTTCCAAAGCGTAAAGGTGTGAGGAAAAAATGAATATTGAAACACATTTGTGCGGCATTGCAATTCAGGTACTTTACAGTCATGATCACCACGCGTGATCATGACTGTAAATTGTCATTGAACAAGACGACTAAGAAATTAGCAATTTCCTGAAGACATGCTTTGATTACCTTGGTTGGTATGCCACGAGGGCCTCCGGCTAAATTGTTTTTCAGTTTACTAAGCAGCCCAAGAACCCCATTGTACGTGACAGTGACCATGGGCATATTTCCGTAGGGTAAATCTGGAAACACGGGAAGCTGATTAGCGCACGTGTTGAGAAAAATGAACTTAAAATAGCAGGTAAAAGAGCAAGCCTTTTCGTATTCACCAAACACTGCTTTTTCGTTGACTAAAAGATTCGATATTGCGTTCACCTTGTTACTGTTCACCTTATTAAATTTCCGAAATTCTTTTGAATTTATTTTGAGAGCTACATCGAGTGAAGAAATGTATTGCTCCCTATTTATTTAAATTAACGGTTATATTTTGTAGCCTATGTCACGCATTTCTTCAGACACATTCTGTTTGCAGTTTTTTAAATGTTCAACGTAGAGGTGGTGTTTCTTCCTAAGAAAGATCGAATTTTCTTGTTTAACCATGGTTTGTCATTGCGGCGTCGACTTGTTACGAGTTTAGAAGGGATGCATTCTTCAACTGAATTCATCTATGTATCACAAAAAAAACAGACAACAATTCATCAATGTTGATTGATCGGCCACTTACCAGAATGCAGGGTAGAGAAGACAAAGTTCTTGAGACAATGACGCAGAGTCACCTTGTTCTTAAAAATAAATTTTCAAGGGTGTTTGTGGGCTTATCTTAATGATGTGTTAGTGTGAGTGGCAACGACACAGTCATGGTCACTAATACCTTGGATGAAAATCATATCATGTAGCAACGACTCAGGGTTAGCGAAAATTATATCCAGCATGCTGGCGAAAGAGTGACCTTGTCTCGTGCACTCAGATACGAATTGAGTCAGATCGTTTGTCGTGACAAGCTCTGAAACAGAAGAGGAAAGTCAACTCAAATCGGAAAACACAGGTTTATCATTATTTCAGGCTACCAGAGGCGTATTTAAATCTTTTCCAAGAATAAAGTCGCACTTCATTGTATGTAAATATGATGATAACTCATTGAATCATGCTGGGTTAGTCCAGCTTGGGGATTGGTAGAAGGAACCAACTGCAAAGCAATTTCCATTGTTAAGTCAGACCTTGCACCAAACATATTCTGAATGATGAAAAGTAGCGGACAGTTCATTACTCTGAAGAAGTTAATTGATAAGTATAAAAACACCACCACCTTGTGTGTTTCTGTAAGATCGGTATACATTGTGACCAGGAGGGAAGATTGCGAAGTTAGCAATGGATTCATGTAACAAAGATTCAGTTCCAATTACTACGGAAGGTCGCGAAATAGACAACAAAGTAGCAAATTCAGCCACTTTATTTTCCAGGCTGCGGCAGTTTACCAGCAGTATAGTTAGAGATAATTTGCGAGAAGGGACACGTTTGGAATTTGCAATTGCGGCTTTTTGATTGGCAGATTGCTTGCTACGTAGCTACCTCTTGAGTTCCGTCACCCTATCTTCTGCAGTGCCATAGACAGAAGTTTTATTTCCCATATAAAGTTTATCTAAGCGTAGCTTAAAAGGGAGTTTCGAACCATGAGCATATTCAGTCAACTTAAAGCGCGCACGCCTAGTATCAGGAGCGAAATCCTCGCAAATTACATAGTCTTTATCCTTCAGCCTTGATCTGGAATAAAAAAATCATTCCTTAACCTTAAATCTAAAAAAAAATGAAATAATTATCGGTTGGGTACTTCCCTCGCAGTACTTTCCTAATGTGTAGGAACGTTCAATCGCTTGTGTTGTGACAGTCTGATTAAGCTCTTCCTTAAAAAACGCAATTGCATTTCCCTCGGATTTGCGCCAGCTTTCATTTGTGTTGTCATGCAGCCGAAACACTATCAGGTTTTTCCTGCGAGACCTGTTGCCGCTATGTTCGAGAGACGCTCCGACTTCAACCAGTTTCGGTCTATTTTCAGATGTGCTGTCTTTCACTGTGAGAAAGTCGCTCTGAAGAGCAGCAATGGTACTTGGCAGTTGCTGAAGGAAAGTGGCAAAAGCAGACTGCTGTTTTCTTACTTCTAGCTCAGCGAAAAAACACGTCTGGCCCTGATCTATCCGGCTTACAATTTCATAAATCTCTTCAAGACCAGCACTATAGTTTTTCCTTCTGGTAGCGGAACCAGGGCCAGGGTTTAGTTCCACGTCACCGGAGAGCACTAAAAGCAATACATCAAAGAAGCGAGAGCAAAATGCGCGCAAACACATGCACTTTTTCAAACACTGAAATAGGCAGTCGCGGCACGACACTGCTATCAAACAACGATTTGAACATCGGTAGCAAGATTCAGGGTTTCGGTAAAAAACCTACGCGAAAAGGCTAGGTAAGGTCATGTCGGCAGCGGTGTCATGCTCCAGCAGCAGTCTGCCGAAGTGGTGCTTTAGTAGGACCTCCGCCCCTGCTGTATTAGTTGACAAAGGTGGGTGCAGGCCAGATGCCTGAAAGAATCCAACGTTGGCACTTGCCTGTCGTTTACCAGAGGAAACGACATTACCCTAAGATCGCACGCATCTGTCTGTAACGAAGAATACGAAGACTATGGCAGGCCTTCTCTCACATTGAAGTAACCAGGCAGTGGAATAATCAGGGTTCCGATAAGAACCTGCGCAAAAAAGCGAGGTAAGCTCATGTCGGCAACAGTGTCACGCTACTGTGTCCTTCACCACTTGATCAAGCAAAGAGGTGACAACACGCGTGCACACTGTGTACAAAGTTTTTCATTAATCACAATGCGCATATGATGTTGGGATGTACAAATGGATATATATTCATATGGATATCGTATTGGCATGGATATCTATGTGGGTATACATATGAATATTTATATTGTGATGTAACGGCGAAGGCAACCTTTATTAGGCCCAGAAAACACGAGGAAGCGACCACGCCCAAGGCACAGAACTCAGACAAGCCAAGCCCCCACAGCAGAAGAAGATGACGACCACTCATAATGATGAATATATGTGAAGATAGTCGACGTGCTTAATGAATGCCTACAATATGGATATGATACGTATATGATATATGGGTATCTATGTGGACATGGATATCCTATAGATATGGACATCCTTAGTGTGTCGCGCCAATGGACCGGGTACAATCTCGATCCTAAAGGTTTTGACCACTAAAATAAATATTTCTCTATTTACAAGCACTACTAGCATCTGAACCTTTATCGAATAGATACTATTACTGCCATTCTTGTCTTTTGTTTCCTATGTTTTTCTGCAATCTACTCACGCCAACGCAGCGTCCCTTTCATTTCACTAATGCACAATCTCAATCGCAGTGCCTGAACACTACGATGTCGGCATGCGTTGGAACTCATGCGAATCAGGTATGTTCCATGTATACCTTGTCTTACGCCTGGGTATCCAGGGTATATATTTCGTAATGTAGATCAGGCCTCTCATTTACAAAGCACCACCGGGAAAATCAGGCATGTTGGACGTACAACCTCGAGTATCTAGTCAATATTCATTGAAGCCTAAAAAGAAATAAATGTTTGAGTTAGAAGGCGAATTCCAATATATTTATATATTACGCTTTAGGTTTAATTAAAATTTCCTATATATATGTATATATATGTATACATATATATATATATATATATATATATATATATATATATATATATATATATATATATATATACGTAGCGGTGTGATATATATATCATGCCGGTATGTGTATGCCTAAATATCTGTCTGTTTCTACAGCACCACAAACCATGCCGTGGCTTTGATATTTTCCTCAAGTTCTTTATCATCTTAAACTACCAACATATTTGGGCCCTAAAGAAAGATCATACAGCCAAGCATTTCGACGGGTGACAGCGTACACCTTGCGCTTATGTGCTTTTCAATGCTTGCTTATGCATGCACTCTGCATGCCCACAATTATTGAGCCGAGAAACGCAAACGAGGAATCGTTTCTCACCACAACTCTGCGGAGATATTACATGGTGTGTTCTTTGAAACTTGCCTCGAAACTCCAACATACCCGTTCGGGAATATTTATTGTTAAAATGCAATCGTTATTTTTTCAGCTAGCCCACTAAAACATCATCATCATGCTATATAAATCCGACTACTGAATTTGGCTATTTATATAGGCAACTTAGCGTTGCCTTTGTAGCGCAGCATTCACAATAACGTCTTCAGGTTGGCACATATAATTCAACCCATCAAACATGCACCACAATACCAATGGCCTTCACAGCAGTGTATTGTTTTTTTGGATTTTTGCTGCAGGCTCTCGTGATACAGCAATTCTTCGAAGCAGTCACTGTAAGTACCACTCTGGATTTTCTTTGTGAAAGCCTCATAGGGCAAGAGGAAAGTCTCGGTAGGGCAAGAGATTTGGAGGGAGGGGCGTTGGAACCTTTTATAGGTTTTCCACTTTTGCGTGGGTATATATACTAACATGAATGAACATATTTAAAATATAGTAACCTTCCCCCTCCCACCCTTCAAAATATTTTTAATATTTTCCTGCCGTCTTGGTGTGATTTATGGCAAACTGCTATACGATGTTCAACTAACTCATGCCTATAACAAAAGAGAAAACAGGAAAGCAGCTTCGTCTTTCATTAGTTAGAAGCTTGCAGATAGCGCGTTGCCTTCAGCCATAGTGTAAGTCCTAAGAAAGCGATGAAGATTGTTGAATTAGTTTACGCAAGAGATGACTTTGACAGCGATTGCATAACACTGGTATTGATCACATACACGACAACAAGATCCACTCACATTTACTTCCCGAATGCTGCCCAAACAGCGAAGCAGGTGCCGCTCTTTCATCATGGCATGTCCCACTTCAACATTTTTCCAGTCCTCCCCGCGTTGTCCCTCAGCGTTGGCCTCCCGAGCGAACAACGGGGTTGGCTCGGTGATGACATGCCTATTCTTGCCTCAACACGCGCTGATGCTCACGTCGCACAGCGGTTCCTCTTGGGCAGTCTTAGCCATTATGAAAGCACTAACCTCCAGAAAACCGACCGCCCCTTTTCTGCTGCGCCAGCAGGTTAATTGACCTGTTTCTCACAGAGCGGCTGCATTCCTCTGATAAGCCTTACATTCCCCTCTGTAGGCGTACTTTTCGCTGCTTCCCTCTTTCCAGAAAGCCTGACTTTCCCTCTACCTGACATGCATCTCGATATTTCAGTCTTCAAGCTTGAGCCACTGAGTGATGGATCGAATGCCGGCTGTGGCGGCTGCCATTGAAAGGAAGCGAAAATGATCTAGGCCCGTGGGGTCAGAGTTGGGTGCTTAAAAATGAACCCCAGTGGTCGAAATTTCCAGAGGCTTCACTATATGGCGTCTCTCATAATGATATGCTGCTTTTGGGGCGTTAAACCTCACATACCTCGGGACGTAAAACACCACATAACAATCAAATCGAACGCCTCATATCAATCAATCATATCGGTCTTCGAGCTTGACTCTTACGCTTTCCTCAAGAGCAAAGTCCTCACCTTGCCTGCCGACCCTCACTGCACTTGGTGACGTCAAGTCGTCAGCGCTACACTACTGTAAGGACGCCTCGATAATGGACAGCTTGGCTGTTGAAGTCATGGTTTGGCTGCAAGTGCGAATTCATGAATGGGATCCCGACATTGGAACAAAATTTTCGAAAATACCCTTTGTGTTCGAAGAAATGTCTTGATCCAGTAACTACCAAGATATAAAAAATGAGAAAATCCGATCAATGATCGTATGCTAATAGTTTACTAGTATTACACATTGGCGTGCAAACGGTGGGGAGGGGGAGAGCGAATTCCAGCCAAATAAAAGCAGGTACGCATAGGCGAGGTCTGCCTCGTACATTGGCCTAACTGACGGGGAGCCACTGCGAAGATTACTCAATTTCTCCCTCTTCCCCGGAAGAGGAACAATGAGCAAGCATGGGGTAGTACATTTCATTCAGAGCTCTGTAAAACCTGTTCGAAATCAAGAAGCTATTCCTGATTATTTCGAGTGTTGCTTTTCGTAACCAATTTCGTATCACTTATTCGCAGAAACTAGTTCCAAACTTTTTGTTAAAGGCCGAGCCTTCAGAATTGCACGGAATATTTTCACAGCAAAATTCGTTTCATAACGAATCTCGCTGTGAAAATATTGCGTGCAATTCTGAAGGCTCAGCCTTTAACACCACAAGAGTTCATTTAAGCGCCGCAGTTGTCCGCCACCACCGCTGGTGCCCATAGCCACTGTGGCTAAAATATTAAAAAAAAACACACAAAGTAAGCAACCAATATCCAAACCGAAATTGAACTCGATCTGAAATGCTCCGTTGGAATAGCGCTTGTTTTTACCATGGAGTGATCTTGGTGCTGGGAGTACAGTTGCGAATTAAAAAAAACGTGTACAGAATAAACCACGATAAAATATAGGGATATGTCGCAGTAGAAAAGTAAAACAACGATCATGCATACGTCAAACAATACGAATTTTACCACCAGGCGCCACAGAATACCAGCGGTGTAAAGAGCGGGTGGTCGAATGCTCCCAACCGACTACAGAGCGTTCAACCAAAATTCTTCGTCGTCATTAGGCACCGCCTCTACAAAGCGCATTAAATACGCTCTGTCTCTTTGTTCTATGGTTCTGCCAACCGGCCAAAGTTTGTCTACTTACGTGACCAACCGGCCATCTCGAAGTGGTGGCTGCGTTCGTATTTGTCAGCATTGTCGAATAAAAAGCAAGTATTAAGCATATATGAGGCGCAAAGTCAATACGTAAGTATTAGGTGGTGTGTTACTTCACTAAGCATACATAATCATCATCATAATCAGCAGCAGCAGCAGCAGCGGCGGCAGCAGCAGCAGCAGCCTGAATACGCCCGCTGCAATGCAAATGCTGCTCCCGCGATCCGCCAATCAACCCAGTCTTGTGCTTGTTGCGGCCACATTATGTCCACAAACGTTTTAATCTCTTCGGCTCCCCTAAACTTTACTCGCCCCTTCGTCCGCTTGCTTTCTCTGTGAGTCTGAGTGAGTGAGAATTTATTAGAAGACAGAAAGGTCGGCCTAAGCTTCTTCACTCTGGCCGGTTACATTACGCAGGAGATAAAGGAAGGAGGAAGAACAGAGAGATGAAGGTTGGTGATAAGGACAACAAGAAATAATGCGTATGTATAGTAGCCACTTAGCATATCACCCTACAGTCTAGTATCTAGTTCAGTGCTTTTGATAAAGTCTAAAACAGCCCTTGAAGCAGTTTTTGGCACTGTTTGGTCGTTCATCGCTGACATGTGGCTTTCACTCAGTGGCGTTCGTGCGATGCTTGCCAACGTTGAAGTTAGCATTTTTCCTTGCGGCACGTGTAATGGGCAGTCACAAAATATGTGAGCTAAAATTTCGCGCACTTAGCAGTGCTCATAATGCGGGCTGTCCGCACGGCCGGTTAGTTGGGTGTAGTAACAAGGGAAGGCGACACTCAGGTGAATCCGTTGGAGTATATTAGCACGTCCTCGGCTTACTTTAGCCGGAAGAGGAACAGTCATACCGGAGTCTGTTTCCCGCAGACGCTTGTTTCGATGTTCTGGTAGAGTCCAGTAATGGCAGTGCATCCGCGAATGAGCGATCTCCACAATGTGTGAACGTCACTTCGTCCGCCTTCTCTGTGAATCCAGTCAGGTAACCTTAAAGACCAGTGGTTATCTTGCCTACGTGCTACGGACCCCGCCCATGTCTATTTCTTCTTGATTTCAACTTCACATCCTCAAGCCCGGTTTCCTCCCTGACCTACTCAGCTCTCTTCTAGTCTCTTAAGTTTACACCTATCATTTTCCTTTTGATGAATCGCTGCGTCGTCCTCAATTTAAGCTGAACCCTCTTTCTAAGACCCCAGGTTTCTGCTTCATAAGTTACTACTGGCAAATTGGAGCTATTGCATACCTTTCTCTTGAAGGTTAATGGCAGATTACCATTCATTATTTCACAATGCAACTCATACTTATACTTCTAGGTATTTCACTCTCGGAGTTTGGCTCCGCTGTTACTGCATATTCAAAGTAGACACAATCTTTTATAACTTCCAGCATGCCTTCACCTCTCGCAAATTGCCGTTTTCTGCCGAGACTGCTTCATATTACTTTACTTTTGTGCATATAATTTTCAGACCTACCCTTCTACTTTTCTTGTCCACGTCAGCATTCTTGAGCTGTAATTTGTCCCCGGAAATACTCATCAAGGCAATGTCATCTGTGAATCGCTGGATACTAAGATACTCTCCGTTTAATCTTGCCCTAGTTCTTCTCAAGCTAGGGTAGTGAAAACCTCTTGTAATCGCATGGTGAATAGCAATGAAGGGAGCCTGTCTACCTGTCTTGCACCCTTCCCTATTAGGATTCTGTAATTTTTATGGGGAATTATGGTGGCTGTGGATCCGCTTAGATATCTTCCAGTATGTTTATGCGGGGTTTTTTGATGCCCTATTTTGTAGTACCTGCATTACTCCTGATATCTGGACTGAGTCAAACATCTTCCCGTGATATATAAAGACAATGTATACGGGTGGTTGTATTCTGCGTATTTCTCTGTTACCTGATTGATAGTAATACAATGGTCTATTGTGGAGTAGCCTGTTCGAAATCCTGCTTGGTCCTTTGCTTGCCTGAACTGTAATGTCCCCTTAATTCTATTATCTGTTATATCTGTAAATAGTTTGTAGAGAACGGACAGTAAGTCGATGAGCCTGTAATTCCTTAGTCCTCGCCATCTCCTTTCTTATGACTTAAAACTTTGTTGGTATTCTTCCAAGATTCTCGTACCTTTCCCGTCAAGAGAAACTTCGTATATAACGTGGTCAGTTGTTTTAACACAATTTCTCTACCATCATTCAGAGGGGTCGTTGTTACCTTTTCCTCACCAGTGACTTCGCATCTTTGCATTCTTTTTAGGCGTTTTGATTACTTCCACTGTCGTTACTGGTAGGATATGGAGTTCCTTCGGGCTTATAATGCTTCTTACGATATCATCCAAGGCTTCTCAGTTTCCTTACAAATCTCTGCAGAAGTCTTCCGTCAATACAGCTATCCAGTTCACATTGGTTATGATATTGCCTCTCTTGTCCCTTAATGTATACATTCAACTTTTGTCTCTGCACAAGTTTGCCTTCACAGCTTTTAGGCTTTTGCGGCTATTTACAGCCTGCCTGATTCTCTCCATATTCTACCTTCTGATTTAGACAAGGTTACGTCTGTTGATTCGCTTCGAAATCTCCACTAGCTCTATTTTGTTGCATCTGAGGTTTTCTTTATTTCTTTTTTTTTCATAATTTTTTTTTCGTTTCCTGAGATAGTTTGCCAGTGTCCTGTCTATTGCCTGTACCTCCGGCTTCCAATGCACACTATTTGATGATACTAGTAAGATTTTTGTTATTTGTGTCAACGCTAGCATCAGTTATTTTGTTTAGAGGTGCAAGTACACTTTCAAATGAAACTGAATTCTTGTACTTCCCCTCTTTTCGCTAGCTCGTTAATTGGCTTTCTGCGCATAAGTGTATGCATCTGATATTTTAAACTTAGGGGAATGCAAGCCTTCGCCCTTCTCTGGTAACTGCTTTTGATCTTGTCAACTAGTATTACGTCCTGTAATTGCCTTCGTGTGCAAACAGAATGAAGTCAATTGAATTTTTAGTGTTGCCATTAGGACTTTGCCACGTTCACTAATGGTTAGCCAGTTATTTGAAGAAAGTATTCACCATCTCGAATATATAACGTTCTGCGAACTCTACTAATACCTTCCCACTGGCATTTTTAGAACCGATGCTAATTCTTCCACTGCATGCCATGTGGCGTGTTTATTGCCTACTTTGGCATTCAAGTCATCCTTTTGTCCTTCAGTATACTCTGTTTTTACTTTATTAATACTGACTCTACATCTTCATTGAAGCGTTCAATCAATTGATCATCATGGCTCGATGTAGGGGCTTAGGCCTGTACCATCTTCATTATGTACTGTTTCTGAAACTTGACTATGACACAACCCTCTCACTGATGCTCTAGTATTCCTATATGTTGCCAGCGATATTCTTGCGGATAACTAACCGCACCCGTAGATTTTTTCTGTCAACTAATTCACAATAGTATAAAGTGTGTTTGTTCTTCAGCACTGTATAAGCCTCACATGTCCTCATTTTTTCTGTGAGCCCTATTACACCCTATTTAACGCTCTCCAATTCCTCAAAGAGCACAGCTGGAGTAGCTTCACTAGATAGCGTTCTAGCGTTGAACGTAGCCAAGTTCTGATTCCAATGGCAGCCAGTCCAGACCCAGTTATTCTTAGCGCCCTCTGCTGCGTCGCAAATCTGACCACCGCTTTGGTCCGTAACTTCAGAGCCGCTGGGCACTGAGGACCAGTGGATGATTGGTACTTTCATAAGCGAGGTAATGGCCAAGTACTGCAGCAGCGTGGCCAATCCTGCTCTGGTTAGGAAGTACATTACTGGCAGGTGGTTGCCAGCGTGGCCGCAGCTCAGACCTCTTCTTTTTTCTTCTTTTCTTTTTTACCAACTTCTTTGTTACTTGTCTTGAGTAAATATACCTCAGGGAATGATACAGCATCTGCATTCGAAGCGAACTTTGTCATTGCATGCTAGGCTCCTGTGCTATCTCCAAGTAAAGGGTTCGGTCCCACTTTATTAGCACTCTCGAATACCACCTCACAGCATATCAGGTCGACGCTTCACATAAGTCGTAGCTCGCCTGGCCTTTTCTTAACTATCCGGAAGTCCTAATTCTACTGAAAAATAAAACCGGCGCGCTTTTGAGCCTTCTACCGTGAGATCTTAGGCCGGCTTAGTGCCCAGCTCAACTTTGACATTGTTGGCTTCTAAGTGTCCGCAATGTCGGATGTTTGCTGAATTTGAGCGGTCACACTCCTACTTTGACGTTTGCTGTCAACTGACGAGTGGTGCGCTCCGGTTTTGCGAACTAATTGGCCACATTTATGTGATTGTAACATTAGGCGTATACGTCGCAGGTAGTTGGAGTGCATGAAAAGTTAGCTTGACAAGCATCTAGCTGCTAAAGAACGGATTGGCGCTGCCATTAAGAATGTATCTCACTTTGCTTCCGTTTCGCAGTAGTAATTAAAACTCTTGTAAATTAATACAGCGGCGGTCTTCAGTCGGGAGTCAAATATACGTACTAGTAATTGCATTTACGACTTCCCTAACATCGTAGAATAGCGGGTGAACAGGTAAGGAGCAAATCAGTTCTCGTTACAGAGAGCGATTAAAGGCAAGAAACTTTCTACAAAAGTGATGACGAGTTTGCATCAATCACGGCATGGCGTCAGCTTGTGTTGATAGACCCTTGCTACCACACACAACGATAAGTCCACGGGACACGTATAGATACATAATTCTAAAAATCCTAGGATTTCTTACAGCGTACTCAAAATGTGCCACAGCAAAAAAAGTGCTCTGCCGACGATATGGTGCTGCTATGTGACAATGCCCCTGGAGTTTGCACAATTTTATGCGTCCTGTGACGGCACTACCAAATGGCGTCCATTCTCTTTGGCATCCTCCTCTCTTTTATCAATGTCAGCCATATGCCGTGCATTCGACATAGCAGAGGCACTGTCGGAAGCGAGGTAGAACATTGCTAACTTTTATGTGTTTAGAGAAATTTATTCTCACGGACAGTGAACATCAATTACGATACTACACAACATCACGACAGAACACAACATCCATAGATTGCCCTTGCGCCACAAAACCCCATCATTAATTCAACATCGGTCACTAGACCGGCGGAAGACTGTCGTCTTTAGTCAACATTCGCAGGCAACTACGCAGATACGCAGCCATTTTTCTAACATAGTGCCACATCGATTCCCCCATGCTGGCCTGCCTAATATTTTGGGCGTTGAGGAAAACTAAACATCAAACTTTGCTGTTCTTTTTACATAGACTCACATGCATACACGTGTACGAGCGCCTGAAGATGACCTTGCGCGCTAATTATTCACTTCGCGAGCAGTGAAGTACAAGTATGTAAAATACATTTATTTTAGAAATGTTATTTCTCGCCCTTTTTGTGCGCAGTTTCGTGTTGAAGTTGTTTGATCGGTACGTAAAAAGAGTTTTTGAAAAGGTATAGCACCTGTGTTTCGGGGCGTACAAAGTGTCCCGCGTCTGCGCTGTTTTATAACCTAAATGTTCACAACCTTGACACTGTGCTCATTGAATCCCAACGAAGAAACAATAATTTCGGGCAGGCAGGCCGTGTGTAACTTGCGGCGAGGTCTTCTTCACCTAGGAAGGTAACTTCAGCAGTGAATCACCTCTGCTTTTTTTCCTACTATAACTATGCTACCGGCAAATATTTTTTTTTGTTGCAGTGCGTTTTCACAAGCATTATTGTGGCTCCAGGGAACTCTATGACAAGTCTCTTCTGCACCGTGGCCAAAGTCGTTATTAACATCCTCAGCAGTGGACCACTGAAAATCGTGGGCTCTGTGATGAGAGAGCTGGAGAACGCCATCGGAATGCAATGTGAGAACTTTCGCCTCGTAAGATTTGTAGCTCGTAGGGCTCGTTTGTGAGAGTTGAACTATCATTCGCCGAACAAAGTAAAAGAAAACAAGAGTGGCACAGTTATGCCCCACACACGCATATACTCAATAGATTCCAATTCGGAATGAAGCAAAACATAACTAGCATTTGAAAAAGTGCGTCAACCAACGTAGGTTTGTTGCTTTGCAGTGGCGTAGCCACGGCTAGATACACCCCGTCCGTGTACTCCTTATCCCCCCACATTGCTTTTCGCCATGAAACAGAGAGCGTCAAGAAATGCCGCCTCCCCACTCCCAGAAAGAAATTTCTTCAAGCGCTCCCGGTGGGTTACGTTGGTTGGTGCCTCTTGTCCAAAGAATATTTGCTTCAAACAGAAGCAAATATCAAACAGAAATGCATGAAATGTTCACCTTTGAAGCATAAGTCACAAGTGAACGACCCCTTGCAGTAACTTGCTGCAATTGGAGCAGCAACGTATACAATGAGTAAGTGAATGTCAACTGGTACTGGTTTGATGTGTTTATATAACTCAACATATTCAAGTTGTATCCTAAAGAAAAGCCTGAAGTAGTGCTCGGTAAATATCCGAATATTTTTCGGAGCCCTCATCTGGAAATCTTTTGATGCGCCCACATGTTCCAGATGCCACAACAGCGTTCCAGTGCCAGCAATTTTTGTTCATATTTTGTACTTTGTGGCAGGAAGCATCTATTAGAATGTACAATTACCCACTCTCCTAGGAAAAGCTTAAAATAGTCAAAGAAAATGATTATATTTGCTTGGGATAAGAAATGACCTTCTGCAGTAGTCTTTTTCTGAAAGGCCCAGCTAGAGATTCTTTCTTTTTGTTTTTTTCTGATAAAGTAGCCTATTTCATCTCAGCATCTCTTTTTTTAGTGTTCGCACGCAGAAGCACAATAACAGTTAACTGGATGCAGGCTCCACCAAACATGGCACTTCATTCACTGTTGGCTATAAATGTTTCTGATATCGATGGTTATTTTGATATAATAGCAATGACTGGCTAGAAAATTCACGGGGACGTTAAGTCAATTTTAAAAGTGACAATGCAGCTTTCTAGAAGATTTTGCGTATGAACGAATTCAATTTTTGCTGTTAGTTTGGACTACACTTTACCTACGTTTCGCATATACAGTGTATCACAACCCTACCACTCACCTGTGAAATTGCAAGCCTGGATAGAAAACGAGTATATGCAAGAAACCACATCGTTAAGTAAATATATCCGCATTATTAATTGGCAGAACGGGGGAAAACAAATCCTGTATGCAATATTCACTAAGATGTCCCACAATATACCAGCCCCACACATATACTTTGCTGAAAACTTAAATATCTTGGCAGTGACTTTCAGCTTCGAATCCTTCTTTTTTTGCAATTTCGCATAAAAGACACATGTAATTTGACCAAAACAATTTACAATGCCAAAGCCGAGAACATGACTTTAGGTCTGTAAAATGTGAACAAATTCTTCAATTCTGCTTTATGGCTGCGCTACCAAAAGAGTTCCTACAGAATCCCCCATTTTCACTATGCTCAAGTTCTCAGTCAACATCTGATAATTTATTTCAACTGCATGAAAAAGCTTCTATGTAGATTGAGTAATGCTTTAGTAGAATAGGACAGAATATTCTTTATTTTCAACGCGTTTCGTGCCAACATGTAACACGTAGAACGACGAGACGGCTAAAAGCTTCTTAGCTGCCTGGACATGGCCATACCACCAAAGCAATGTCGAACATAGTTTCTAACATATCGGGAAACTATACAAAAAAAGAAAGCGGAAGCACTCAGCGAAAAAAAGATACATGGCGCAGCATTATCACCAACAGTTGATGACAAAGTGAAAATAACATAAATGAATGTTCTTTATATTTTTTTTAATTAAATAAGTCGCAGACCTCAGGGTTTTTGAGGTATTTCTCATACCATGAAGGCACATGGGACAAAATATATGACTTGACATCACGCTTAAAGACGGATGTTGACATGGCTTCATTAACATAATTTAAAACATGTGTACGTTGATTTATAAAAGTAGGTTTGAGGTATTTCTGTTGATTAGTTCCGTATTTTGTTCTACAAAGCATAAGTTCAAAGTCTGAGGTCATAGAGCTTTTCCGTTTTTTTATATACTGGCACTGTGTGGTCAAGCCATCAAATGTTTGCTATGTGGCCGACAGCCTACTTTGAAGGACTACCAACCTACATAGGTTTATTTCGCGTGTAGTGGCCCAGATAAGCTGGCAGTAATATCCCAAAGACTGTGCTCCAACTTCAATACGTGGCTAGCTAACCAGGCAAGAGATACCACAAATCACACAATAGGCACTTCAGAAGGGCTTCATGTGCTCGCCCAGAAAGCAGTAAATGACTATAGTTCTTGTTCTGTCAAAGTTGATAAAGTGGTCAATTGATGAGAAAGAGAGAGAGAGCAACATTTTATTGAACAGCGAAAGATGTTTCGCTTCTCGCCTGACATTCTACTGCAGGTACTGTGATATATACAAATATCTGACTATACAGACTTATATGACAGATATGATATCTGACGGTGATATATACAGATCAGTAATCACCAAGTGGCGCTTTCGTGTACGTAAAGACTGATTTGATGAATCTCACAAGTAGTTAGTAAAGTAACCAAGACAGTCGTGTAATGAGCATAGGACAGATCGCACAATAGTACACAAGCCATTTAAGTAGCAATATCTCACTTCCCAAGTATTCAAGTTACCTTGATGTGTAGAAGGTATTACAGAATAACCTCTATAGAATTATCTCAGTAATATTGTAGGTATTCCTAAGCTTAGCAGAGAATGTACCTTTATGCGGTGGTTTATTAGGGTGGTATGCAATAAGGCAAGAAATTAATAAGGCGAGAAATTCGTGGTGATCGTCAAATGAAATTACTTAGTGGGCCTCAAATATAACACCTTGATGCGCGAATTATAATGCGTTGTCCAGGAATGTGTTAAATTCATGCAGCATATCTTCGAGGTTCTCGTAGTACTTGCCAATAAACTGTTACAATTCGTTGCGAGTTTCAGTCATGAATTGTTAAAAGCTTGTAACTATATGGTTCAATCATTTCTCGTCTGGTGTGTTTTATTTTCATATAAAAAGAATCAAAAGGTAAGCTTCAAATGCGTGTGGATTGCGTTCATGGTTGTATTCGTTTAGAGAATAGGAAAATCAGTTTTCACGTTAGTTCTGAGACGGGGCACGCCAAAGAACCCTTCTAACACTGTAGTGCCTTCGCTCAGTGACCGTTCACGGTCATACGTGGCTCACTGGATTAAGCCAAGACGTACTGACTACGGAGAAAGTTCAGTGCATCCAATGTGAGTTGGTCCCTTTTCGCCACAAGTAGACATAATCAGCATAAATCAGTTACGTACAAAAGATCACAGCATATCTACGGAGTGAATGATGATGACTGGGGCGAGGCATCGGAGGGTTTTATCGGTAAACCGTCAATCATCTGTCCATCCGTCTGTCTCTCTGTCTGTTTGTATGTGTATGTGTCTGGGTCTCTGTCCATCCGTCCGTCCGTCCGTCTGTATGTATGTATGTATGTGTGTATGTATGTATGTATGTATGTATGTATGTATGTATGTATGTATGTATGTCCATCCCTCCGTCTGTCTGTCTGTCTGTCTGTCTGTCTGTCTGTTCGTTCGTCCGTCATTTGTCTGCCTGTGTGTCTGTCGATCTGTCTGTCCGTCAGCACCTGCTGAGTGAGTCATGGAACTAGGTGGCCACGTACGAGCTAGGAGGAGCTTGGCCACGGATTTAGGAGCTTCGTCCCTTAAACAGAGCCGTCGCCACTGAAGGGGATAAGGTGAAGTAATACGTCTGAAATACCCGTGATAATGCAAAGTTTTTCCCTGGTAAGGCATGGCGTTGTCGATAGATAATAATTTTGCGAGAACAGTAGAAAGGAAGTTCCGTTTATAATAACGCTATAGCGTTAAAGAGCTAGTTTCGTTAAAATTCCGGTCGACGTGTGGGCGTGGCGTAGGTGTGGGCACCATCGGTGGTCAGCGAAAAAGAAGCTTTTGAGTCATTAAAAGACCAAGAAAGACGCAAACAGAAAATAATGAAAGTTTCCGGGTTCCATTGAGCACCGAACCCAAGACGTTAGATTGGGAAGAAGATGTACGACCGCACAGCCACACGTCCGCTTTGATACACTTAATGTGCAGTGAGAACAACGTTCTCGTATTACAAACATACGCCTTAGGTATACAGGCTTCACAATACAACAGGTAATACCACAATAATACTGAGGGGTACAAGCGTACATTGCCATCGGCCAGCAGAACATGTAGTTATCACACTGACGTCCGCGCATAAACGATGGTCATGAATTACAAAAGACACACATGGGACTGAGCGCATTCTTTAAAGACCACGTAGTGGGTTCACAACAAATTCTAAACGATTTCACCTGCATACTTACTCCTGTTTTAAAGCATCCTGCCAATTAAAAAGAATGCAGCCATGTCAGACAAAGCGGTTCACTCAGACGAACGCTTTTAACCTTATTGATTTTATTGTAGTAACTCAGAATTTCAGCGTGTCGTGTAACATCACGCACTAATATTATGCACTAAGTCGATAACGTACTCACTATGGTTGTGGTGGAAAACATTTGTTACTTCATTTGCAGAGAGAGGTCTTAATGAGGCCAGTCTGAAGGGCAGTATATTGCTAACGCATTCAACGTTCAAAGGCGAAGCTTGAGTTTCCTCCAATTTTCATTTAATATTTTTTTGTGCAGGTTAAAGGGATCCAACCTTGTGGATGGCTCATCAAGCGGAAGGTTTCTTGTTAAACAAGTCATTGTTCCAACCCATCGGTAATGTTCCAAGCCGCTAAATAAAGAGTATACAATACTTGGCCCGTGATTGCCTTAAAAATGCATACTTTGACCAGTTCTTCACCTTTGCTGCAAATTACACTCGTGTAAACTCTCACCTAGTCTTCCCAAGAGAGGCCTAAGGAGCTTCGCCCTAAAAGTATGAAGCAGGAGAGAGGAGCCCTGGCTTCCTTTAAGCCCCGCCGCGGTGGTCTAGTGGCTAAGGTACTCGGCTGCTGACCCGCAGGTCGCGGGTTCGATTCCCGGCTGCGGCGGCTGCATTTCCGATGGAGGCGGAAATGTTGTAAGCCCGTGTACTCAGATTTGGGTTCACGTTAAAGAACGCCAGGTGGTCAAAATTTCCGGAGCCCTCCACTACGGCGTCTCTCAAAATCAAATGGTGGTTTTGGGACGTTAAACCCCACAAATCAATCAATGGCTTCCTTTAAACTTAAGTTACAATGATACTAAGAGCTAAGAGGAGGAGGAAGCAAAAAATAAAGAAGAAAAAAACTGCAAATAAGGAGGTGTGTGCAACAAAGCTGGATCCGCTACAGACACACGAACGAAGGAAACACCTTGAAACTTCGAAACTTATCACTTGATGTAACACCGGCAAAAACACGTATAGCGCGGCCAACTGTAGCATAATGTGCGCACTCAAGCCAAAAATAAGGCTTCTTCCTCTCAGTCTTTCAGGTTCTTGCTGATTATATTAAGTGCGGATATTACAACTATTGCTACGCAAACACAACACAAACCACGAATGAAGATTGAATGAAGGAAGGAAGAAATTCGAACAGAAAATTAAGTGCAAATGAAAAAATGATAGGAAAAAATAGAAATAAAGCATGAAACATACCAAAAAATGGTAAGCGGAGAAAGGGAGGCGGATTAAAAAACGAAAAGAAACTATGAAGGCTGCCCAGCTGCCCACTTTGTCGAAGATTGGTGCCTCTAGGGTGAAGCTGCCTTTATTTCTTTGTTGTTTGGATTTGTCAGGTCAACACCACCAATGTTGGTTCTTCTTGACTCCCCCACTTTTACCAATATTTATTTTTGTCGTACTTGGGTAGATGTAAACTGTCAATCGCCTGTGGTATATTGGTATGTCCTACACTCGTCAGACAGAAAGAATCTGACGACATGCGAGAGAGGATTTTAACGTGATGCATGTCATAAATAGAGCCGAATTTCTTATCCTTCTCACCCTTCTATGTAAAGTTTGGTCTACAACAAGGAAAGGATATGATAGTGAAACCACCCAGACGTAGACGAATCGATTGATTCTCGTTTGGCACATTTGCCGCAAGTAAAAACTATCTTGAGGTCAGGAAACAATTTTTGCTGTGCCTAGAAGACTGGATGTTCGATTATAATGCAGAGACTGCAAGGCGGAAAAGGCGCAGACCCTTCAGAATCCCTAGAAGATATCGGAAGCTGGTGGTGCTGTGGTTTTTTTGCAAACAAGCCCGTCTAAGACGCAGAAGAGAGCAGCCTATGATTTTAGTTTGTTAGCAAGCAGTGGCTGTGTGATGCCGTATTTTTCTGCTCATTCTTAGTAGTTTGGGTACCCAGAAATTGCTGGTCCAGTGATGCAATGTAGGTATCCAAGTTGTCTGCGTGGCAATCTGTCGTTGGACGTGGCATTCGGGAAGGACAATCTCCGCCAGCGTGAAGCTTACTACTTTGAAAGAAAGCCGTAAAGTCGTATTCCTATACACCAGAACACAGCAAGCTCAAAGCATGCTGCCATCATAAAAACCTCGTCGCGCCATCTGTTGCAAGCACGACGAAGCAACACCCATGCACTGCCAAGCTAGCAGATGCTGCGCAAATCAAACGCGAAACTGCACAACCCTAGTCTGGCTGTAAGGATATTTCGCGCTCTTCCTCTCCTGAAGTGTTGTGTTGCTCTCGCGTGAAATGTCAAGGAGACCTTCTTCGATATTCCGGAATGTCTACACCACCTAGATTGCAGACTACTGAAGCAACTTCATCTGGTATGTACTATCCCAATTTAAACAAATGCGAACAGCGGAAAGCGTTGCTTTTGACTCAGTCGAACTGCAGCGTGCCTTGGCTGCGGCCACGCTTCAAGGCAAAAGGGTGTTAAAAGGGTGTGTGGTTCGTCCTTTTGGAGACTAATGGGACTTCCACAACCATTATATCCCTTTAAGAACTAACGGCACCTGTTCTAACACTTAGTCCTTTCAGACGAGTTCAAGGAACTAACATTTAGTCCTCACATTTACACCTTAGTGAGTAACGATTAGTTCCACAATTCACCTCAAAAGACTAACATTTAGTCTTCGCATTTGCACCTTATAGAGCAACTGTTAATCCACACATTTACACCTTACCGGGCAACCGTTAGTCCTCACAGTTGCATCTTGCCGGACAAACGGTTGATCCACTCAAATACTCCAATCGAATGAACTTTTTGTCCCCAGTTCAAACATTGTTTTTTATTTATTTTCCGCCAGGCCTAATACTTTTTTTGCCTGTTTTTCTGCACAGTGAGCAACACATTGCGCAGAAAAGAACACGCGCCACCTATGTGTAACTGCTTTCGCAGTCACGGCAACAACGAAAACAAAATGAAGACATCGAAATCTTTTATTTTTCTGCATACGCATGAAGTTTCTCCATTTTTTAAAGTGAATTCATGGTGAAGTGTACAAGTCCAGTCTTGTTGTAAAATCTTGTTCACTCCTTGAGGAGCTCCTCCGATGGAAGTGATAGATGAACTCGAGATGACAGGCATTGCAGACGCCAGCATACGCAGCCTTCTGTCTGTTGTGTTCCAACGGCTGCACGTACAATAATATAGTAAAAATAGTTAGACACACGTGACAAAAGATGAAGATGCACGCATATGACAAGTACGTGCACGTTAATATAAAAACAAGCGTTAAAGTATGACACAAACGTAGCCTTACCTTCACATTTCCCACAGTCTTTCTGAAGCTGCTCTGACGAAACAGATGGATGTCAGGCATCGCAGACACCAGCGCACACAGGCTTCAGCACGGTGTGTGGCCCACGGCTGCACAATAGGTATGTAAATTAGGGAGTCACACGTGACAAAGGATGAATACAAATGCATATGAGAAATACATGCAAGGTGAAATGAAAACATACGTGAGATATGACATGCCTATAATTTCACCTTGATGTCACACATCGTCAAAGACTCATTTCTATCCCTGTAGCACAACAGCTTAGGAGCGGCGGCCGTAGCCACAACTCCGCGGACCACCGTGCCGCTAACAAATCAGTGAGTCCTAAGCGAGCAACGTTGTTCAGCTCGAGCAAGCCAACTCGAAATCAAACACGGCACTGCACACGGAGTGTCTTCCGCCAGCGAACTTTGAACAGAAGAGCGAGCGGACGCTTGGCCGCCGCCACGAACAGCGCCGAGCTGGTTGGAGCTAGCGCCGAAGAAATGGACGGTAATGCGGCCCTCTTCCGCAAACTCGAGCGAGTGCAGCGCGCAAACGCGAGTCTGCCGCCGCGGCCAATGAACAGTGCCGAGCTGCTTGCGACCGACGGACGGGAAAGCCAACTATAATGGTGACCAATTTTCAGGGAGATTCGACGCTAGCGAAAGCCCCGTCAGCCCGTGCTGGTGCTCTTACAGCACGCGCATACTACAATTAAGCTCTTTACGAGAACTCGCAACGTGTTTTCAACGACTCCCAACACAGCGACGAGGTCTCATCCCAATATCTTCTGCTCGGAGCTCATCGCGACGGCAAAGGCAGGCGAGCACTCGATGAGCGAGCGTAGGAGAGGCCGACGGCAATGGCGGCCAATTTCCAGATGGTCGCAAAGCACAGGCGAACTGCAGACGCCGAAGCTGACCTTCGCGATGCATTTCGTGCGTGCGATGTACAACATGACCGAGCCCGTTGCCGGCAAGTGCAATCCGTATCGCACACGCGACAAGTAGAGTAGAATAAAGAATGATAACCTACTTGCCTTAGAATCCAGCGCTGTGTTCTGCCCGGAATCAAACTGGAGTATATATCCGATAGGCCTGTTGTTTTCTCGGCCGCCATATTGGCTTTTCCAACTGTTGCTGTCGTGTGTTGGTCGTTACTATCTTGAAGCCCTAGATATACAGCGCAGCGTGGTGATGTGTCGAGACTTGCTCCAGACTTCATGGGTGCAGCAAAACGCAAAAGCAGCAGCCCACGCTCATCCAAGCGTACGCACAAGCACCACATTGTTAGATCGTTAGATCGATAATGGGGCTTCCACAACCATTTTGCTCACTTTCGCAGTGCCAACTGGAGATCGAAGCTCGGAACTGCGACGCGCCGACAAAGTGCCGGCTACCCACCCTTCCCAGGTTTCTACCGTGGAATCCACTGACGCAAGGGTCCCGGACAAGGAAATACGACTACACTTCAGAACAACATATTCAAGCGTCAACGCACCACGTGACCTGCTGCTACCCCATCTGATCAGCTATAAACGCCTACTGCACACCGGTGATCACACTCGGGCAGTGGCGGCGGCGGCGTATACACAGGAGCAGCATCTGAGAAATTTTGCTCACTTTCGCAGGTTAGTTTTGCTGTTCTGAAAAATATTTTTCCGCACTTGTACCCATTGCTATATTTTGCTGCTGCTCTACTGCCCGAGCAAGTGTTCTTTGTGTAACGCGTTTACTGAGAGAGTGTTGCTGAGCTTGTGTAGCGCGTTTACTGAACAAGCAGGTGTTCCTTATGTATCGCGTTTACTAGCACTCTAAGGAAACTTCCTGTGCACTATCGCCTTGAAACTATTGTAAGTGTGCAGCCCGTGCTTACGCCATGAGCAACGACCCTGGCGAAACGTGTCTAGCATGTTTTGAGGAGATATTGACAGATGAAGAATGCATGAAATGTGCAGAATGTGGTCTGCGTTATCACCTCGGAAAGTGCTCAGGTGTCGGCGAGCGTACGTACAAATC